CTAGTACGCGTAGCGTTTCGGGCAAGTCCTTAATCCTATGGTCCCTGGAATACGATCCCCTGCCGCGAAGAATCGTTTTTTCATCCAAGTACACATTTTACTGTTGCGTTAAACAGAGGCTACAGTTAAGGAATTGCGCCCAGTAAATCCTCCCCGGCCAGGATACGAACCCATGACATAGCGCTCGCGGAACGCCAGGCGAGTGTCTTACCACTACACCACGGAGACTACAATATCCACCGAAAGGTCTTTGTCTGTGTAACTGGTGACCGTTTCCAAAAATGTGAGCAGGTTAGTAGGGCAGGATGTGTTTTTAACAAACCCAAGTTAGTAGGGCAGGATGTGTTTTTAACAAACCCATGATGTATTGATTGTACCAGATTGTGTACGGAAAGATAACGAATGATTCCCTACCTGAGGATTCTCTCCGTGACCCGGTTGTTTTCTACCGTATTTCCGTTTTCTCTCTTCCTCCCATTTTCTCTTTTTTCCTCCTTCCCCATATCTCTCCCAGTGAGCAATTTATGCTCAGTAACATTCACAATTATCGACAATGATTCACTGCCAATAACAGCCGTAAAATGTTCTGACATTGTGGACAATAGAACCCACATAGTGGGTTCTACCCACATAGTGGGACATAGAACCCACATAGTAATAGTGGCTTTAGGCATTGTATGTACTAGCTCTATCTATAAAGCCAATAAAATGTGTAAAATCTCTTTATGTATGTACCTTACCTAAATAAAAATTATTATTATTATTATTATTACATATTTCCTACTGCATACGAGTGGCTGGGATTGGGACCCCAATTTTTAAAATTTAATAAGTCAATATTGACTTATTAAATATGTGCATAGGTGACATACTTGACATAATAGTTTCCCTTGAAAAGCTTCATAGAAAACACCGACCTTACCTAACCTACTTAGTATGTTAAGCATCTTATTGCTTCGTAATTACAATTATTACCTAACCTATACCTATAATAGGTTAAGTAACAATTGTAATTACGAAGCTATAAGATGCTTATTTTAACATACTAAGTAGGTTAGGTAAGGTCGGTGTTTTCTATGAAACTTTTCAAGGGAAACTATTATGTTTAGTATGTCACCTGTGCACGCAACTAATAAGTCAATATTGACTTATTAAATTTGCGAGAACGGGTTGCAACAACCTATGACATTCCCCATGCAATCACATCACCCTGCAAAGTCCCGTCAGACTAGAGCAAGAGTCCTTCTTGCTTTAGGACATAATTTCACAGGAAGACTCACCAAAATCTCCCTTTAATCTCAAGAGAAGCTGTAGTCCTTAACCTGGGCTATATACCCCCATATGTGTGTGTATACATACATATACATACATATACATACATATACATACATATACATACATATACATACATGTGTGTATATCATATACATACATATACATATATATATATATATATATATATATATATATATAAATATATAAAGTTGTGAGGGTACCACCTCTGGTGCAAATGTGGGGACCCATAGCCTCGGAGAAGAAAATAAGGAGTATTCAGAGAAGACCTTGTGGATTCTCACTGAACACTTTAATATTTTCTTCTCCTACCACCCCCATTCTTTTGTATATACACATATATCTTTGTTTTATTTAAATTGTGTTACAAAAAAGGAGTTACATATAGGGTACCAAGATGATTATCATAAGTTGTCGAGTTCCTCCAGCTCCTCAGATGGCGGGCAGGAACCCTGAATGCAGTGTGCATTTCCCCTCTGTATCGCCACGCTGAGGCGCTGGAAAAGAAAGCTGGCAGCTCTAGGGTCCCTTGTTGTTTCAATGAGCCTAGAACCCAGTTCCTTCAAAAAAACTGGTGGCACTCTTACCCCAGGCGCCGAGTGTCTCAGAAGCAATGGGGACAAAATTGTAGTGGTGATCCAGTTCTCTGTACTTACGGGATTTGGCTGCTTCCCTGTGGGTGGCAGCGCCACCTGGTTGTGCAACACTGAAGTCAATGTAGGTGTTAGCCAGGGTTGATACGCACGTGTAGTCCCATACCAACTGCTTGCCATTCTTCCAGGGGTTCACTGTGATACCATCCGGGCGACCAATAAGAGCATCAGAGTTACGGGGCGTTAGGTAACGGGGCTCTCTTTCAGCTGGGCATCCAGCTGTGGTGAGGCTCCTCTTGATGATGTCGTTAACTTCACTGTGCCTCGAGTGCCATCCCCCTGTGCTTTGGCAGAGTAGGCCATGGTGGCCGTACCTGTCAGCCACCACCTCGCCGCAAGTACACCTATATCTGGTGTGGATTGGGGCAGCAAGGCGGAGGGCCACAGCAAGGCGGAGGGTGTGTGGTGTGAGACGCGTGCCAGTTGCCGACATTGGGGTTGCTAACAGGAAATCCCCTGCATGTGGTGCTGCTACTGCTGTGAGGCGAGCAATGTCGTGTTGTGTTGTTGCAGCACCCAGGCACTCTGCACCAACTTGGTCTACAATGGGGCCATCCCAGCTGGATTGTTGTAGGCTTGTGTGGATGGTGGTTGAGGATGGAGATGGTGATATATATATATATATATGTCGTACCTAATAGCCAGAACGCACTTCTCAGCCTACTATTCAAGGCCCGATTTGCCTAATAAGCCAAGTTTTCATGAATTAATGTTTTTTCGTCTACCTAACCTACCTAACCTAACCTAACCTAGCTTTTTTTGGCTACCTAACCTAACCTTACCTATAAATATAGGTTAGGTTAGGTTAGGTAGGGTTGGTTAGGTTCGGTCATATATCTACGTTAATTTTAACTCCAATAAAAAAAAATTGACCTCATACATAGAGAAAAGGGTTGCTTTATCATTTCATAAGAAAAAAATTATAGTAAATATATTATTTCAGGAAAACTTGGCTTATTAGGCAAATCGGGCCTTGCATAGTAGGCCGAGTACGACACTCTGTATATACATATATATATAATATATATATATATATATTATATATATATATATATATATATATAAATATATATATATATATATATATATATATAAATATATATATATATATATATATATATATATATATATATATACAAAACCCAAGATGCAAGAAGATTACAAATTCTTGAGGCAATCCAACATAATAGGCCAATTACACTGGATTAAACTTTGTGTTTAGATAGGAGCTGCCTCGTATGGGCCAATAAGCCTTCTGCAGCCTCTATGTTTCACCTCACATTTATCCCTTATGTATCCCCCCCATGTTTTCACCTTTATTGTATATATATATATATATATATATATATATATATATATATATATATATATATATATATATATTATATATATATATATATATATATATATATATATATATATATATATACAATAAAGGTGAAAACATGGGGGGGATACATAAGGGATAAATGTGAGGTGAAACATAGAGGCTGCAGAAGGCTTATTGGCCCATACGAGGCAGCTCCTATCTAAACACAAAGTTTAATCCAGTGTAATTGGCCTATTATGTTGGACATTGTCTTCTGTGTTGGCATCGTTATGTTCTTGTCTTGTCCTTACTCTCATGGTGGGTAGAGTAAATAGTTCCGTGATTTGGGTGTTCATGGTAGGTCGCTCTATTCTTATGTGAATTGCCTCAAGAATTTGTAATCTTCTTGCATCTTGGGTTTTGTATATATATATATATATATATATATATATATATATATATATATATATATATATATATATATATATATATATATATATATATATATATATATATATATATATATATATATATATATATATATATATATATATATATATATATATATATATATATATATATGTCGTACCTAGTAGCCAGAACTCACTTCTCAGCCTACTATGCGAGGCCCGATTTGCCTAATAAGCCAAGTTTTACTGAATTATTATATTTTCTCTAATTTTTTTCTTATGAAATGATAAAGCTACCCATTTCATTATGTATGAGGTCAATTTTTTTTAATTGGAGTTAAAATTAACGTAGACATATGACCGAACCTAACCAACCCTACCTAATCTAACCTAACCTATCTTTATAGGTTAGGTTAGGTTAGGTAGCAGAACAAGTTAGGTTAGGTTAGGTTAGGTAGGTTAGGTAGTCGAAAAAACATTAATTCATGAAAACTTGGCTTATTAGGCAAATTGGGACATGCATAGTTGGCTGAGAAGTGCGTTCTGGCTATTAGGTACGACATATATATATATATATAATATATATATATAATATATATATATATATATTATATATATATGTATATACAGAGCGTCGTACTCGGCCTACTATGCAAGGCCCGATTTGCCTAATAAGCCAAGTTTTCCTGAATTAATATATTTTCTCTAATTTTTTTCTTATGAAATGATAAAGCTACCAATTTCATTATATATGAGGTCAATTTTTTTTCACTGGAGTTAAAATTAACGTAGATATATGACCGAACCTAACCAACCCTACCTAACCTAACCTATCTTTATAGGTTAGGTTAGGTAGCCGAAAAAGTTAGGTTAGGTTAGGTTAGGTAGGTTAGGTAGTCGGAAAAAACATTAATTCATGAAAACTTGGCTTATTAGGCAAATTGGGCCTTGCATAGTAGGCTGAGAAGTGCGTTCTGGCTACTAGGTACGACATATATATATATATATATATATATATATATATATATATATATATATATATATATATATATATATATATATATATATATATAGTTGTTACATTCTTGTACAGCCACCAACACACATAGCGTTTCGGGCAGGTCATTAATCCTAATGTTCCCCGGATTACAACCCGCCAAATCGTTTAACAACCAGGTACCCATTCACTGCTGGGCGAGCAGAGGCTACAGTTAAGGACTGGCGCCCAGTCAATCCTCCCCGGCCGGGATACGAACCCAGACCAAAGCCCGCCCAAAGAGAGACAACTCGCCCTTCTTCCTGGTGCTCTGTGACTGAGGTAACAGATTATCTTACCTCACTTCTAAGGCGTCTGGAGCCGTCACACAGGTCAACTAGTGGCTGACGCCGAGGTCAACTAGTGGCTGACGCCGAGGTCAACTAGTGGCTGACGCCGAGGTCAACTAGTGGCTGACGCCGAGGTCAACTAGTGGCTGACGCCGAGGTCAACTAGTGGCTGACGTCGAGGTCAACTAGTGGCTGACGCCGAGGTCAACTAGTGGCTGACGCCGAGGTCAACTAGTGGCTGACGCCGAGGTCAACTAGTGGCTGACGTCGAGGTCAACTAGTGGCTGACGCCGAGGTCACCGCGGCTGCGACGCGTGCTTCCCCTTCGCTTCCAGGACGGCGACTGACTCCCTCAAGGCAATGACACGTGACGTCACGCCTCACCGGCACCTCCCATTGGCTAATGACACGTGACGTCACGCCTCACCGGCAGCTCCCATTGGCTAATGACCAACGTCGTTGTATCCCAACCCGACCTCGACTCTAAGTCCATTCCATCCAGCGGTCGACCCCACAGACGCATTCATCCATTTTAAAATATTAATGAATTTTATTTTCTATTTATGAGGGGAAAACGCCAACGCATTACGACTGTATAGCACTGGGAACGGGTCAGGATGAGGGATGGGACGGGGGCTAGGAATAGTGCCCAATCGCTTGTAGTGCACCAAGATTGTAACCTTTTGTTGAATTGTCTGAATGACTCTTGCAAATTGTCTAAGTCATAAAAGTATTTGTGTGTGTCCTGTAGGGGTCTGTGTCTGTGTGTACACAGTAGGGGTTTGTTTGTTTATCTTAGCCTGCTGGGAAGGTTGGGTAGGGTCTGTGGTGTTTGTGTGTTACTGAGGAAGTCTTGGTTGTAGGGTTGATGTAAAGCCATTGCTTGGTTACTGACTTTAATACGTATATAAACAATTACATGACTAGCTGCTTCCAATGTGGTATCCTGTACGCTTCTGTTTACCTTCTCTGGCGTCTGCTCCGCCGCACATAGAAAACGGATGGTACCATTTTCTGTGAACATGACAAGGTCGGGGTTTTCTGTGGAGCTTTTCGGGGTAAACTAAAGTATTCACAATCAGTTGGTGTCACATGTGCACTTGTTAGGCGGGCCAATATTGACAGTAAGCGGGTGCGAGAACGGGTTGCAGGACGCAACCCTCCACACTTGCCAGACTCTCAGGTACCTATTGTCTGCCAGGTAAACAGAGGCATTAGGTGAAAGGAAGTGTTCCCAAGGCGTTGTCCCACATACATTACATATCTTAAAACTTTGTGACACTTATGCAGTAAGGCAGTAAATAGAATTAACCAGAAGAGAGCACCTACATCTTACTTATAAAAATACAATGAGGACATTGTAAGGAACAATACAGTTTATAATGTTGTTACTCGGACAACAGTGGAAGATGGTGGCACTGTCAATCCTCTTACAAGCTTTGCTTAAGGAGAATTCAGCATGTTCAGTGTTAGGGAGTCGGTCGGCCGAGCGGACAGCACACTGGACTTGTGATCCTGTGGTCCCAGGTTCGATCCCGGGCGCTGGCGAGAAACAATGGGCAGAGTTTCTTTCATCCTATGCCCCTGTTACCTAGCAGTAAAATAGGTACCTGGGTGTTAGTCAGCTGTCACAGGCTGCTTCCTGGGGGGTGGAGGCCTGGTCGAGGACCGGGCCGCGGGGACACTAAAGCCCCGAAATCATCTCAAGATAACATGAAAGCCCCATGTGTGTCCTGCAGGGGTCTGTGTTTGTGTGTGTCCTGTAGGGGTCTGAGTGTGTGTGTGTCCTGTAGGGGTCTGAGTGTGTGTGTGTCCTGCAGGGGTCTGTGTTTGTGTGTGTCCTGTAGGGGTCTATGTTTGTGTCTGTCCTGCAGGGGTCTGTGTTTGTGTGTGTCCTGCAGGGGTCTGTGTGTATGTGTGTCCTGTAGGGGTCTGTGTTTGTGTGTGTCCTGTAGGGGTCTGTGTTTGTGTTTGTCTTGTAGGGGTCTGTGTTTGTGTGTGTCCTGCAGGGGTCTGTGTTTGTGTGTGTCCTGTAGGGGTCTGTGTCTGTGTGTGTGTTCTGTAGGGGTCTGTGTTTGTGTGTGTCCTGCAGGGGTCTATGTTTGTGTGTGTGTCCTGTAGGGGTCTGTGTGTGTGTGTGTGTGTCCTGTAGGGGTCTGTGTCTGTGTGTGTGTCCTGTAGGGGTCTGTGTGTGTGTGTGTGTCCTGTAGGGGTCTGTGTGTGTGTGGGGTGTGTGTCCTGTAGGGGTCTGTGTGTGTGTCCTGTAGGGGTCTGTGTGTGTGTCCTGTAGAGGTCTGTGTGTGTGTCCTGTAGGGGTCTGTGTGTGTGTCCTGTAGGGGTCTGTGTGTGTGTGTGTCCTGCAGGGGCCTGTGTGTGTCCTGCAGGGGTCTGTGTTTGGCCTGTTCCAATATTGAACCCATTTTCTTGTCTGATCCTCTCACAATTTCTGTTGAATCAATCCTGTTTCTTGTTCCTGCTTCTCTGTTTTGGTATGAATGTTTGTGTTCCTTCAGTGTATATTTCACAAAATCTGGCATACATCGCATTTACTTCCATGCGTAGCAATAAGCGTGTCCTATTAAACTCGTAAACAAAATTCAAAGTTCTTCATAGTGTCCCTTCTTGAAAACGAGTTCATCAACTGTTTCAATATCCGTATTCTCTTCTAGATTATAACGAAAAGCATAATTAATTTCCAACAGGACATGATGACTCTTTCCCAAGAGACGGAGGTAATGGAAGTGAAATATCTCTCCTTTCCTGGCGAATATTAGATATAGTATTGATGGAACATCCCCTTCCCTCATTCTTTTGGCCTGCTTGATGTGTTGATACATAAATGTCTCCAGAAGTAAGTAATTATCAAAAGAAGGCACCAAACCGGGAAGGCTATGTAGCACCACCAAATGTGCGGAATAATCAGAGGGCGCTAAATATCACCAAGGGTGCCAATACGAGAACAGAAACGCATATGGCGAACGATATCAAAGGTATCCGAGTCGCCAAGAATTCTATCGAGGGACAAGTGACCACGAGGGACGGTTGGAAAGCAACACTCACGCTCGGTCTGGAAGTCAGGACATTCAACAAGGATATGCATGACTGTAGGAGAGAGAATGCAATTTAGACAATAAAGAGCAGGGCGACGTTCCATTAAGTGACTGTGAGTAAAGCGAGTTGGCCATAAGCAACCTTACCAGAGCCGTTTCCCACAGCCGTTTATGGTGGCAGGAGGAAGGCCAAGGGGACACACTATGTTTGAGAGTACGCAGCTTGTTACCAACTACAGAAGACCAACAACCCTGCCAACGGGCAAGGATGGAGGAATGAATAACTGGGTAAAAGTTGGAATAAGGAATACCTTTATGGGAGATGGGACAAGAGTGGATAGCTACTCTAGCAGCAGCATCCGCACACTCATTTAAAGAAACACCAATATGGCTGGGAACCCAGCAAAACTCTACTGATTTAAATATACTAGAGATAAGAAACAGCCAATGTTGAATCTCGACAACCACCGGATGGACAGGATTAAAGGACCCTAGAGCCATGAGGGCACTACGAGAGTCAACTACAACCACAAAGGAGGATTGACAATGAGAAAGCAGGAGACGGAGAGCATAGAGAATAACATAGTTCTGCTGTGAAAATGCTAGCCTCCGAAGGGAGGCGACACATATAAGTGCAATTAGGAAAAACAACAGAGTAGCCTACACCGTTCCCAGACTTAGACCCATCGGTGAAGATGGAAACAGAGCGGGAGTGTGAAGAAAAGTGCTCGAGGAAAAGGCGTTTTAGAACCGTAGGAGGGGTAAAAGCTTTAGTCATGCGGGTCAAGGATGTACAAAACCTTGGAAGGGGGACTCTCCACAGGGGCAAGGAAGGAACAATACGAGGAGAAACATTAGAAATACGAACTAAAAGAGAACCCTGTAAGTGAGATAGCCGAACAGAAAGAGGGGCGGTGAAGAGGAACAGGAACCGCAGGAGGAGTAGAAGTTAAAGCACGACAGAGGCGAGAGGAAGGATGTTGCAAGGACCACACAAGATAGCGAGGACAGTAGCAATCATGGCGATTCTGGAAAGACAGGAAGCCAGTGTCAACATACAAGCTGAGGGCGTGAGTCGAACGAAAGGCACCAGAGCTGAGGCACAACCCAGTATGGTGCAAAGCATCAAGACGGCGAAGAGCAGAAGGAGAAGCAGATGAATAAACAGAGCAACCATAATCGAGTTTAGACAGGACGAGAGAGGAATGTAAAGAGAGGAGTATGCACCTATCTGCCCCCCTAAGAAGTATGGGACAAAACCTTAAGGAGGTTAAGGACCTTAGAGCATTCATCTCGGAGGTAAGAGACATGGGGCGACCAAGACAAACGAGTGTCAAAGATTAACCCCAAAAGCTTAGCGGAATCCCTGTATACAAGGGAATGACCATAAAGCGATAAAGAGGGACGAAGAACGACATGCTTCTGAGTAAAAGTCATGGCACAAGTCTTAGACGTAGAGAGCTTGAAGCCATGATTGGTGGCCCAAGACGACACGGCATCAATTGAAAGTTGAAGCCGCAGTTGAAGGAAAGGCGAATCATCACCCCGACAGCAAAGGGTAAGATCGTCGACATAGAGAGTGGAGAAGATGCCAGAAGGAAGAGAGGAAAGAAGACCATTGAGGGCCACTAGAAAAAGAGTAGTGCTCAGTGCTACCTTGGGGTACTCCCTCATACTACCTAAAATGGGCAGAGAGAGTGGTACCAAGCCGCACACGAAAGGAATGACGAGAGAGAGGAAACTCTGGAGAAAGAGAGGGAGATTTCCACGAAGGCCAAAAGAATGACGTTGGGACAGAATATGATATCGCCAAGTGGTGTCGTAAGCCTTTTCCAGGTCAAAAAGGGCGGCAACAACGAAGGTCTTCGCAGCAAAAGCAGTACGAATATAGTCCTCCAAGTTCACCAGGACATCCGTTGTGCTGCGGCATTTGCGAAAACCAAATTGAGAAGGGGAGAAGTGGTGATAGCATTCTAAGAACCACATCAGACGAATGTTAACCATACGTTCAAAAAGCTTGCAAACACAACTCGTGAGGGCAATAGGGCGGAAGTCCTTGGGGGATGACCCGAGACACCCTGGTTTCCGAACAGGGAGGACAACAGCATCGAGCCAGTCCTCAGGGACTGACGACGACTCTCAGACCCAATTATACAGACTCGGTAAATACTGAGACATGCACGGAGAGAGATGGCGAAGCATCTCATAATAAATGCCATCGGAGCCCGCTGCCGTAGAACCACAGAGGGCCAGGGCAGACTGAAGCTCAGAGAGAGAGAGAAGGGATCGTTAGAGGGAAGGCTGAGATAGGTACAGAAATCTAAAGGTTGTGATTCAAGAATAGGCTTACGAAGAAGGAAGGATTGAGGAAGATGAGAACCAGAGCTAACAGATGAAAAGTGGGAACCCAGTTCGATAGCAACCTGCAACGGGTCCGCCACAAGAGTACCACACGGTGAAGGACGGCGAGACATCGGGAACAAAATTACCCGCTATCTTGCAGATACACTTCCAGATCTGCAGCAGAGGAGTTTCGAACGTAATGGTGAAGACACAAGACATCCAACATGTACGTTTAGCAGTACAGATGGTCCTACGGCCCGCCGCATTTGCCTTCCGAAACAAAAGAAAAGACTCAACCGTCTGCTGGCGGCGGTCTATCTTCCAGGCTGCACACTTACAGTAGACAGCCCGAGCAGTCCACATTCCACCAGGGAACGCACGTCGGCATTCCCCAAGAGGAAGAGCGAGCAATAGAGCGGAGGGCAGCGTCGAAGACGGTGTCATGGAATGTCTCCAGAATGAGATTTACAAATCTGCCTGTCCAAATGTCTTCCTTTCTTGCTGAGTAAACCTCCCAGTCTTTTGCTTTCAAGTTGCAGTCCCTCAGTACCAACAATCGTGATTTATCCTTATCTGCTTTTACTATAATCTCTCTCATGACCAATATGAGGCCCTCTCGTTGGTCATCTAGTTCCTCCTTTGTTCATGTGTTGCTTGCTGGTGGGCTGGCTGTAGGCATTTACAATTATTAGTTTATCATCCTGATTCCAGACCTACAATGCCATTGCAACTTTTCAAGGGTTGTTGATTATTAACTCTCTTACCTTCAGGCGTTCTTTCACCAGCAGTCCACTCCTACCCACTTCCTACTTTTCCTGTCACGTTTCCAAATTGAGTACTGTAGCTTCTTGGGAATATGACCTCATTTAAAATATTTTTTTCAAGTTTTGTCTCTGTTAGTGTGACTACTGTATATATGGGACCTTAAGCTGATTATATATACAGTATATATGTCGTACCTAGTAGCCAGAACGCACTTCTCAGCCTACTATGCAAGGCCCGATTTGCCTAATAAGCCAAGTTTTCCTGAATTAATATATTTTCTCTAATTTTTTTCTTATGAAATGATAAAGCTACCCATTTCATTACGTATGAGGTCAATTTTTTTTTATTGGAGTTAAAATTAACGTAGACATATGACCGAACCTAACCAACCCTACCTAACCTAACCTATCTTTATAGGTTAGGTTAGGTTAGGTAGCTGAAAAAGTTAGGTTAGGTAGGTTAGGTAGTCGAAAAACAATTAATTCATGAAAACTTGGCTTATTAGGCAAATCGGGCCTTGCATAGTAGGCTGAGAAGTACGTTCTGGCTACTAGGTACGACATATATATATTATATATATATATATATTATATATATATTTATATATATATTTATATATATATTTATTTATATATAATATATATAAATATAAATATATATATATATATATATATATATATATATATATATATATATATATATATATATAATATAATATATATATATATATATATATATATTTATATATATATATATATATATATATATATATATATATATATATATATATTTATATTTATATATATTATATATAAATATTTTATAATATGAGTTATACTCATATTTTCCAATCATCCTAAAATCACTGATATTTTCCTTGGAACTGAATTGTGTGTGTGTGTGTGTGTGTGTGTTTGTAAATGGAAAAGGGTATGGCGTGCAGATGTTTATAGTGAGCAAGATACCAGCAATATACCATTTGCACATACCTTAGGAGGGTATGTGCAAATGGACCTAGGAGGGTCACGTACAAATGGAATCTATCATATGCAAATGGCACATAGTATATTCCTTCACTCATAAAACTACAGAGTACTACATTATTATATTTGTTTATTAAATGTATTTTTATTAATATTTTACCAAGTATTTTCCTTCCTTTCCTTCTGGACTACGGTGAGAGGTGAGACTGAGGTCCAGGTACTTCAGTGCCTAATGGTCCAAGAGACATAATACAGCCGAGTGGGAATCTACCAATATTAAGAGTCCGCCTAAATGTACACGGAATTGGTCATCGGGATATTGGCTGTGATAAGGACGCGACAAACGACAGCCAGAGCCATGCCAGTTGTAGAAGACGTTAAGACGTTTCTGCAAAAGAAGGACGTTTCAGCCGCCCAAAAAGGCAACCGACTCTAGTGAGTTCGTAAGCTAAGTGTTCTCAACCCGAGTATATTTCTTGTGGTGCAACAAGTGAGGCAGGACCAGGCAAGAGATCCTCAGAGTAAGATCTAGGGGTAGGTTTATTGTATGGCCGTATTACACTGGTTGGAGGTTCTGGCTGTGGGTCAGTAGTAGTTGGATGCCCTCACAAGGAGATCTTCTCTCAACAGTTAATAGAAGTCATGTCTTAAGTGATCCCCCAACAATACCTAGTTGTCAGTGTTTACTATATTTATTAAATTTATACTGATCACATTACAGGTATTTGTATCATTTTTATTCTTGCAGTTGCATTTTTTGGAGCGCTCTATGTTTGTGGTGGGTTTATGTCTTGGTTCGGGTTGACCTAGAATGACCAGATTCCCTGAGCCGTTATTGAGTTCACTACATTCAGCTTGTGGTCTCTGTTAGGCTTTTGTGACTCGCAAGGGCATAGTTGAGCATAATTACGCACATGTACAGTACTTATTGAAGGAGGCACCAAACCAGGAAGATCATTCAGCACAGTGTGTGCCACGGGAAGTTCAAGGTCAGAGGGAAGGAAACACAAGTGAAATATTTTTATAGTAATAAAGTATGACATGATGGATATTTCCTCCAGTATCGTGGTCATACAACTATTGGTAGAATATTACAAAACTTTACATGCAACATATACAAAGGTCACGAAAGTATATCTAAGATATAACATAAAACACATTAGAAAAGCATATTTTATTGATTTGTCTGTTCTTTAATTTTAAGCATTGCCAATTTTAGCCATTAAGTTTACAATAAGTGCATAGTCCGCTGTATTTATAAATTCTGATTCATTCAGTTCAATATTGTACATTGAATTTGGACATTTTAACAAAATGTTACAATACAGCTTTTCAGATCTGTGCAAAAAAATTTACATTTACCTTAAATGTATAACATACAAGTACCCCCCTCACCTTTTTCCATGACAATATTGAATATAAATTCTTTGCAATCCATACTACCCCCCCCCCCTCCCCTAGGCTTATTGTTTTAAATTCTCCTTAGGTGTCCAAATATATTCCCTATAAATATAAACAAGGCCATACTATGGAATCGAACCCGAATCTCTTAACTCCTCAGGCACACACACACTACCATCAGCGGGTTCAATTCCTTGTATGGCCTCAACATTCATTGACTGACTGATCACATTCTTGTGATTTTATTGTGTGTATTGACTGTCATAAAGATGCTCCTAATACGCTACCACACCCTGTCAGGGACACCCCAACTCAAGAGTAGCAACCCCCAATCCATACACATGAAAGAAGGAAAGTGACGACTTGATTAGGATTTAGGATGGACTGAAATACTGTCACTTTCCTTTCATGAATGCGTGCGAGTGAGCGAGAGCAAGAAAGAGAGTGTGTGTGTGTGTTTGTGTGTTTGTTTTGGGTTACTAATTTTTAGCCACATTATTATGACATATTCTATTTCCAAGTTAGAGAGAAAAAAGTCAGCTTCTATAATGTATTTTGAATTCCTTCATTAAAGTATATCACAGCTAATTTCAAATCTTCAATAATGAAAACTAAATGTCATAATATTTAGAAAAAACCCAAAATATGGAAACAGTTCTGCCTTCAGATTTTTTACCTGCAAATGAATATTAATATTTAATTAGCAAATTGTTCAGTTTGGATCTTGATTGTTGAGTCATCAAGCACACAATTGGGTTTATTTCATGCTCTTCAACCAATCAGCTAGTGCCATGAAGATCCAAGTCATACAGAGATTGACTACATAGCAAAACATCATGGCAATGATTGGAGCATTTTTTTCATATTAATACTTAGGAATCCTTGTTAAATAATAGTGTAGTGGTCGCCAGTACTGCATGTACTGTACACACAGTATATCTCTCTCTTGCAATACCTTTCATCATTTCTCTTACTTTCCAAAAATCTGCAATATGTCTACTCACTCTCATACTTGTGTTGAGCACGGTAAAACGATCCTTTCTGGGGCTCGGGTGCTTCCCGAGCTCCGGCCTTGACAGTCCGCTCGTGGATCACAACACCTGCCAGGGTTTTGGGACTTTTATCCCCATCATTACAGGTTCTCTTGCAAATGGTCCTGCCACTTATTTAGGGCAAGGATGAGAGTTGTAAATCTAATTCAAGCCACCACTGAGCGACTAACTTGCTATGCTATAAAGGGACATGGTTTGTGCAGTCTCTGTGGCACAGTGGTAAGACACTCGCCCCGGCGCTTCACGAGCACTTTAGCCTGGGTTCGTATCCTGGATGGGTAGGATTGACTAGGTGCCAATCCTTAACTGTACGCCTCTGTTCAACTAGCAGTGAATGGGTACCTGGGTGTTAAACTCCATATGGGGGGTCGTATTCTAGGGAAAATTAGGATTAATGACCTGCCCAAAACGCTATGCATACCTGAAGAGGGTTACGGGAGTTCTTCTACTCCCCGAGCCTGGCTTGAGGCCAGGCGTGTTAGTGGCTTTACAAGAAGGTAAGAACTCTTGTATATGATAAATAATAATAATAATAAGCATAATAATAATAATAATAATAATAATAAATAATAATAATAATAAATAATAATAATAATAATAATAAAAATAAATAATAATAATAATAATCTGCCCGAAACACTGCGCGTACTAGTGGCTTTACAAGAGAGTAAATACTGTACTATCCAATGTATTCTCACAAACCCAATGTACCTTCTTGTATATATATAAATAAATAAATAAATAATAAAAAATTACCACTCAAATGTTAACTAGCAGTAGAAAGAAAATTATTTAGTGCTCTACATACTTCATACAGACTGCTGCCAGATGTCAGTATAGTCACTATCAGAATCGGGAGAGCTGGACACCTCCCTTTAAGTCCAGATTACACACCCACATTCAAGGAAGATTAGACAACAAAATGCAGAAATATGGGACTTCTGAAAATCAACTCTGAATTTAGTATTTCACTCTGCAAATACTGTAGTAATATTTCTGAGCTAAGGCCCATTTGGGAAACAAAGCAATGGGAAAGGAATCAAAGGGGGAAACATACCTGAGCAGAAAATTAAAAAGCTGGAGATGTATAAGAAAGACAGTATCTGTCTGAAAAGAAACCCTACCATCAGGCCACAAAAGGATCCTGGTAAAAAATGAGATACAGGGACACTAAGGGCTAGGGTGATCCTATAACATGAGGCCCAAGCAAACAGTACAGCTGGAAAAATCAGCGGAGCCCAGTGTACGACGCACTAATCCACAAGATATTCCACGCAGTCAAACAAACCACCAGGAGAAGACTAAGGCAGAAAGCTGCATATGCCTTCATAGACTTTGTCACTTCATGATGCACATAGCATTAAGTTAAGCTACACACTGATGGGGATAAAGTTACAGGAGCAAGGCTTAAACCAATTCATGAGTGCACCATACTGGCTCTGGTTCAGGAACCCTCTAGACATTCTAGAGGCACCTCTCATGTGGCTCAGGAATCCTTTAGACATTCTAGAGGCTCCTCTCATGTGGCTCAGGAGCCCTCTAATCATTCTAGAGGCTCCTCTCATGTGGCTCAGGAACCCTCTAGACATTCTAGCGGTTCCTCTCATGTGGCTCAGGAACCCTCTACTCATTCTAGAGGCTCCTCTCATGTGGCTCAGGAGCCCTCTACTCATTCTAGAGGCTCCTCTCATGTGGCTCAGGAGCCCTCTAATCATTCTAGAGGCTCCTCTCATGTGGCTCAGGAACCCTCTAGACATTCTAGAGGCTCCTCTCATGTGGCTCAGGAACCCTCTAGACATTCTTGCGGTTCCTCTCATGTGGCTCAGAAAGAATCTAGACATTCTAGCGGTTCCTCTCATGTGGCTCAGGAACCCTCTAGACATTCTAGCGGTTCCTCTCATGTGGCTCAGGAACCCTCTAGACATTCTAGCGGTTCCTCTCATGTGGCTCAGGAACCCTCTAGACATTCTAGCGGTTCCTCTCATGTGGCTCAGGAACCCTCTAGACATTCTAGCGGTTCCTCTCATGTGGCTCAGGAACCCTCTAGACATTCTAGCGGTTCCTCTCATGTGGCTCAGGAACCCTCTAGACATTCTAGAGGCTCCTCTCATGTGGCTCAGGAACCCTCTAGACATTCTAGAGGCTCCTCTCATGTGGCTCAGAAAGAATCTAGACATTCTAGAGGCTCCTCTAATCCTTTTGGCTAAATTATTCTCATTCACATTTTCTAGTTACTGTAATTTTTTGTACTTCACAAAAAAACCCTCAAAGACTACTATATTTACATAACTTGTTATGAATGTTTTTTTTAATAGCAGCACTATTGCATGCTGACAAACTTGATGTCTGTTTGTCACATATTACATAATACAGTGGGTTAATATCATACTGTACCAGTAATGTCTCTCAGTAATGTTGAGGGAGCCGGTCGGCCGAGCGGACAGCACGCTGGACTTGTGATCCTGTGGTCCTGGGTTCGATCCCGGGCGCCGGCGAGAAACTATGGGCAGAGTTTCTTTCACCTTATGCCCCTATTACCTAGCAGTAAATAGGTACCTGGGTGTTAGTCAGCTGTCACGGGCTGCTTCCTGGGGGTGGAGGCCTGGTCGAGGACCGGGCCGCGGGGACACTAAAGCCCCGAAATCATCTCAAGATAACCACCCAGACCAGTATGATCATTTGATTAAAATCATACAAATACTGTAATATGGATGCACTTTTGAACTCAATTCTACCTGAAAACTCTCCCTGTACACATTCCGGTGCTGTATTCTCCATATAAGGTACTGTACTATATTGAACAAACAAATAATATGTTGCCAGTATATTAACCCTATTGAAACCAACTACAGGTAGATACAGGTACAGATTTCAAGAGTTTCTCTACTCCTCCCAAGTCCAACTTATGATCAGGCTTGTCTTGCAATACCCTGATTTAAAAGGATGTTGCTTGGAGCGGCCCCACAGGCCCACTTCTCTATTACAACCCAGTCGGTCCAGCACTTCCTGCAGGAACTTGTCCATTTACTGCGTGAACACTTCCGCTCGTATTCTGGCAATATTTCTTACAGTATTTACTGGGAAAAGATCGAGCCACTGTGGGTCTCTGATACTTGGTTTTCTCTCACTGTAACTATGGCACCTTTTCAGCCTCTTACATGACAGTATATGTGATATCCCTCATGCCTCCTTTCCAGAGAGGTGCACTTTGAATATATTAAGACAGACATAGTAATTAAAGTGCTTTACTGGGTCTATGCATGCCAAATAAATTCTCTTTATACTGTATTTCTTTCTATTTCAAAAACAAATTCTGCTTTGAAACAGATAGTGTACCAAGTACCAAGCAGTTCTCAAGGCAAAAAAAAAAAACAAGCGATTAGAAAAAAGGGACCATTGCTGTGGCATCCCTGGATTTGAAGATTCTCATATTCCACCCACTAATTTTCATTCAGTGGATTAAGCATAAGCCACTGGCCAATGCTGTGCTAGCTTGATTATGCTCACTAAATGCTAGGTCGTCCATCACAATTCCTAGATCCTTTACATGTTATTTTCCTTCTATAGGAGATCCAATTGCTTCTTGTATACCATTATATTCGAACTTTACGTTTTAAAAAGCTGCAATCATACTTTTATGTGTATCCTCCATTTTCTTTTACCCAAAACAATGAGAGGAAGTAGACAATCTGGACAACATTGTACGGTATTCACCTAGTTGTATTCACCTAGTTGTGTTTTGCGGGGGTTGAGCTTTGCTCTTTCGGCCCGCCTGTGTTTATCTTTGAAATATAAATTTACTTGGAGTTTAAATGTAAAGGAAAATGGCTAAATTTTAGTTTGGAAAAACAATCACCACACAATTTTTTTCAGCATAAAGTGTAACTGTATATTAGAACAAGACTGTTCAATAAATGCATCTTAAGAAGAATTTTTGAGTGAAGAAAAGCAGGATACAAGGTACCACTGATGCTCGGACGTTACCATGTCGGCATGGTAACTGGACACATAGTTTATTGTTTGGTCTTGTGTTAATATGAATAACCTTGTAGGAAAATAAGGTGCATTTAATAATCAAGAACTTGTTATATAAAAATATTGCATATTTGATGAGGAATTACAGTATAAACCAGACTGGTTGCTCTCTAGAAAGAAATATTAATTTATAATATTATTATTAGAAAGTTTTCTTCTGCAGAGTGGTAGATGATTGGAACAAGGTAAGTGAGGTGGTGGTGGAGGCCAAAACCGTCAGTAGTTTCAAAGTGTTATACGATAAAGAGTACTGGGAAAGTGGAACACCACCAGCATAGCTCTTATCCTGTAACTACAGTTGGGTAATTCTAGGTGTGATGTGCTAATCTGCTAACATCTCTACAATGTATTCTCACCTCATCTGTCAATTCATTTCCCTTATTGAAGATATATTAGAGAGCATCTACAACCAATGATACATAATCACTAGCTACACTACGTGCCAATTATCGTACTGTGAACATTCTTGGCACAGTTCGCATAACAATTGGCTTTCTCACTTTTGCTTGTATATAAACGAAATAATGAATGAATCGTAGGCAAGAGTGTTTGTGTGCATAGCTGCCCCATAGTTGTGTCAATGGGAACTGATATCTAGCTCTTAAAGCCCCGCTTCCTAGCTATGGTATCTGGTGTAATTATCACTCGTGACATGCTTTTTGAACTGTGTAAAGTGAATACTTCCATCACATCTGCCTCAAGTTAATGCCACTTGTTTACTGCACTCACTGCATATAAGCAATTTCTCACTTTTTTCTACATCTGTGTTTGCAGCTTCTATCTGTTCTGTTCTCTCTCACCTGAGGAAAATGGCTGTCACTATCTACTGTGCTTATTCCCTTCAGTATCTTGTATGTTGTGATCATAATGCCTTTTGCAGTTAAATTATTTGTAATTCCCTTACCATGTCCTAAAGACCCGCCTCTGTCTTCTCCGGGACTAGTCTTACGGTTCACCTTCGGAATTCCAGAGTTTTCCTCTTGTGCTTTACCAAGTGTGAACTCCATATTTTAGGTCTAGGCTAATGTACAATACGCAATGTAAAGTATTTTGAAGGATTCCTTGCTTAAGTTCTTCAAAGCTATCTTTATATTTACTAGTTTTACATATGCTGATGACACTATATTGTTGGTACGTATCTTTGTTTATGTTGGTGTTATGTTCACGCCCAATACTATTTTTTCCCTCTGATTCTTGAAACTGCCGCCATCGTACAGTGTTCTTCTGGTCTCGACCCTTTTTCAACCCTCATTACTTTTAAACATGTCTGGAACAAGCTGCAGTTGGTATTTTGTCCATCCATTCCTGCAGCCATTTTTTTGTAACACATATGGGTAGAGGAACAGATGAATGCGGACTCCTGTTAGCAAGTTGAGAGCTTTTCCTTCCCATAGCTCATGGTAAGCCTTACCTACTATTTTCTCTGGAATTCAACACACCAATTGTTTAACAACCAGGTACCCATTTACTGCTGGGTGAGCAAAGGCATACAGTTAAGGATTGGTGCCTAGTTACTCCTTCCCAGCCAAATCGCACATGAAGCACGAGGGCGCACGTGTTACCACTGCACCACCAGTGCCTTTCTAAGTCATCCTGAAGTACTGCATCGTGAAACTCTCTTTGGTGTTTATTATTATCAGTTTTGCATAGTCTACAAACATTGCCATGCATGTTCCTACCGTAGCTGGGAAGTCATTTACATCAACCGGGAACAGTAGTTGTTCAATTACTGAGCTGTCAGATACTGCTTACCTCAGCCAAGAGATCATTTACATCAACTAGAAACAGTAATACTGTAGTAGTGATACAATTACTGAATCATACCACACCTTGCTGCTCATCCTCTAACCTGATACAGTACTCTATCTCTTGACGATCCTGTTTCCCATTTATCAGATACTCTCTAATATAGCCTTGAATTTTCCCAATTACCACAACTTGTTTTTCCAATTCTGGGATGTGAATTAACCTTAAGTGCAGAACAGTGTGAAACCTTTTGGAACTCTTAGGAAGTAAATAATTATCAGAAAAAGGTACTAAGCCAGTATGGTTATATAATATCAAACAAATCATGTCTACTTTAATATTACTCCAGATGTGGATACAATAGCAGAAAACTTAACAATAGGAGCTTAGATATGTTAGAGATATTTGGTTCACTAAGGAATATATCTAATGATAATTTAGAGAGAGATCAGTACTGTAATAATAAAATTAACTATATACAAAACCTCAACATTCAATAAGTAATTGTGAATCAAACGATACAATTCGGGCAATAAGGGACTGGTTTCCCTCCCATCAAATGAATACGAGTCAACCTAATTCAGCTAATACACAAGCAGGTTAAGAAAGTTTCTTATTTTTGATCTGATGGCAGAAAAATGGCAAATGCAATGTTTGATGTCCCTACATTTATTATTGGATAAACTCACTCACTCACTCACTCACTCTCTCTCCAGCATGTTAATAATGTAAAGTGTAATATTAGGTAATAATCCGAATTCACAAATTTTGTCGCCTCATCACCTAATTTAATGAAGACAACATCAATATGACTATTTACAACCATTATTTGCTTTCTGTACCTGAAACAATGATGGGATCTAAAAAGATTTAATAGCCAGTATGTCACTTATAGACTCTACAACACTAACAAAAAGCATTTGTTTTGGTAATGTCAACTTCTTAATGGTATATACGTCAGCGACAAACAAAATATTCGTTTCCAAGGAATAGTGACATACAGTCCACGGGCATCTGGACAACCACAACACATTTCCCACCAGCCAAGGATTTATACACATCAATGAAAATGACAAGATACAGTAACTGGAATGTTGACCAGACCACACACTAGAAATTGAAGGGACGACGACGTTTCGGTCTGTCCTGGACCATTCTCAAGTCGATTGTGAATGGTCCAGGACGGACCGAAACGTCGTCGTCCCTTCAATTTCTAGTGTGTGGTCTGGTCAACATACTTCAGCCACGTTATTGTGACTCCTCGCCAGTAACTGGAATACCTACTGAAATATTCCAGGAAAGTGTGTTCTTTATAACATTATGATGAGTGAATGATTTGATGTTAGAACTCAAGGCTTTGGAAAGGCAGATGAGTAGGACTTTACCCAAGGGAATGTATAGAATAATATGTTATATTGGGGTTATC